TGCCTCAGCCTCCTGGGTGCTGGGATCACAGGTATGTGCCATCGCACCTGGTTCAAATTTTTATTAGTACATATTTGCAGTAGACAGTGATTATATCCATTGTGCTTAGCCTTTGTAAAATTTTTTATTACAATATAGTCTCAATAAATTGTCCAGGCTGGGCTCAAATTTATGATCCTCCTGCCTCAGCCTCCCAAATATTTGGGATTACAGGTGTGCACCACCAAGCCTGGCAGTTTCCCCCTTATATAGTTGAGTAATATTTGTGTGTGTAAATTATATATACACATTTTGTTTATCCATTCATCTGTTGATGGATACTTATACTGCTTCTGCCTCTTGGCTACTATAAATAATGTTTCTGTGAAAACAGGAATGTAGCTGTCTCTTCCTGATCCTGACTTTAATTTCTTTTCTCAGATGTGAGATAGTTGTATTAGATGGTAGTTCTGTGTCTGATTCTCTAAAACTTATTTCCTGGTTTTGTTTTAATATTTCAGATAGCAGTCAACCTATGTGGTGAGTTGTTGCTGTGTCCCTGGATTTAAGGTGCAGCTAGTTAATCCAGATCATCACATTTTAAAATCCCCAATTACACTCGCAGAGATTCTTTTTCTAAGTTAAGGTCACATTCAAAGGTTCTGGGAGTCAGACATGGACATAGTTTTTGGGGCCACTGTTTAACCCACCATATGTCCTTCTTCCTTGCCTCATGCTCCTCTTTGATGAGTTTTTAAAAAAACTTTTTATGTTTATGTTTGCAGTATGTAATATTCGCATTCCTCGCGGGGAGTTGGACACGTACATACACATCAGTCCTTATTTCCCCTTCCTGTTAGACACTTATCTCCTGCTGACCTTCTGTTTATTTACTTATCTTCCTCGACTCCATGAGGACAAGGACTTTTGTGTTTTGGTCAGCATTGTGATCCCCTTAGAAAGAGCAGCTGCTACAAATGTTTGTGTACCACATACTGGCTCAGTATGCAAAGGAAGGTGTGGCCAACCTACACAAAGCCTAGAGAAAGAGTGGCAACAATTGCCCCATACTCCCCACCTTCCCTGGGGATTGAACCCGAGGTCTTCACCCTGAGCTACATCTCCAGTATTTTTTTTTTTTTTTTTGAGACAGGGTCTTACCAGTTCAGGCTGGCCTTGAACTCTCTATGTAGCCCAGGCTGTCCTCTAACTCACAGTGATCCTCCTGCCTCAGCCTCCCAAGTGCTGGGATGACAGGCATGTGCTACCATGCTTGGCAACCTTTTTTAATTTTCATTTTGAGACAGGATCTCCCTAAGTCACTAAATTTCCAAGACTGGGCTTGAACTTGTAATTCTACAGCCTGAGCCTCCAGAGCAGCTGGAATGGTAGGCTTTTACCTCTGTGCCAGGTCTCTCACCAACTTTGAGAGGGTAAATATTTATACCTTTGGGGAATGGATAAAAAAAGTGGTATTTTTATACAATGAAGTACTACTCAGTTATAAAGAAGGATAAACTTGAGAAACATTTATAGGGAAATGGATACAACTTGAGTCCATACTCATAAATAAAATAAATCAGTCTGGAATATGTAAACATCGTATTGTCTCTCCATTGTAAGAAGCTGAAAGAGTAAATAAGACCCAAAATGTACAATAAATATTGTGAAATGGGAAGAAAATGATCAAAAGGAAAAAAAGTGGAGCATGGTGGTGCATGCCTATAATTCTAGCACTTGGGAGGCTGAAGCGGGAGGATCCTTGCCCCTGAAATGCATAGTGAGACCCTGTCTCAAAAAAAAAAAAAAAAAAAAAGGAAAGAAACTGGAATGGGGGAAAAGGAGAGAAAAGCAACAAAATACACACACACACACTAGTTATTCTAATTGCTATTAGCTCATTGAAAGGTTTATGTCTATACTGTTTGATCAATTTTTTACACCTATATCTTGCAATATGAGCAACTACTTTGAAGATAACAATGCGCAGTGTACTAACCATTGTTACTCTCCCACAGTCTTTTCTTTTTTTTTCTTTTTGAGACAGGGTCTCACTATGCAGTTCAGGCTGGCCTCGAGCTCACTTTGTAGCCCAGGCTAGTCTCGAACTCGCAACGATCCTCCTGCCTCAGCCTCCGAGTGCTGGGATTACAGGCGTTCTCCTACAGTCTGGTTTTGAAACTTTATACCATTGTTTTTAGTGTTTATTTTTTCTTTACAATAAAAAAAAATATTTGGACCTCCGGAATTAGATTACCTAAATTGTACCCAACAAAACTCAGGCACGCTGGCACACGCCCGCAAACCCAGCAGCCAGACGGCTGAGGCAGCAGTGAGTTTGAGGCTAGCCTGGGTAAATTAATTGCACTTTTTTTTAAGTATACGAAGGCTGAAAAAAAAAAGAATATGCAGGTTGGAGAACGAGGCAGAGAAGCTGAGGAGAGACCGGTCACACCCAAGTCCCCTCCGGAGGCGGAGAGAGCGCGCGCTGCCTAAGCGAGCCGGGAGATCTCCTGCCGAAAGCCAAGCTCTCAGCGTCCCACAAACGACCCCAAGCTCCGGGGACCCGCGGTCGGTCGTCTGGGAAGGCGCGCGGGTCCTCACAGCGCCCGTCCCGTTTTCACTGTGGGTAAACAGACAACAGGAAGCCCATGAGGCACGCTAGGAGAAAGCCTGGGCTTGTTTTTGCCATGCGAAGAACGGAAACGCCCAGCACGAAAACAACTCTGCCCAGTCACGACACCCTGGTTCCCGCGCCCTTGGGCAGAGGCAGCGCGCACGCGCACAGTGCTGCGAGATGCGGGCCCCCGAGCGAGACAGGCACCATTGCGCAGGCGCCTTCTCCCCGGTTTGTGGCGTCGCCGGGGCAGCACGCAGGCGCAGAGTAGTAAGCGACCTCCCGGAAAGAAGGTGGAGGAAGAGCGGGTGGGCGTGACTGCGCAGGCGCCGTCTCAACGGCTGTGTGGCAGCGCAGGGGCGGGGCGCAGGCGCAAAGCGGGCCGCAAGGCCGCGCATGCGCTTGGGGGGCGAGGTGCAATGGCAGGTGTCCGGGGCGGTTGGCTCCTGGGGATGTGGAGGCCTTTTCTGCTGTTCCTCGCGCTGTGCGCCGCGGGCGCCCGCGGCCTCTACTTCCACATCGGCGAGACCGAGAAGCGTTGCTTCATCGAGGAAATTCCCGACGAGACCATGGTCATCGGTTAGGCGGGCTGAGGGTGGAGCGGCCCTTTGTTTTTGCCCGGCCCTCAGAAGCGCCCCTTTTCCCGAGCCCCGCCAGGTCGTCCCCTCCCCCGAGGAGCCGGGGTCTCTCCAGGGCCCCACCCCGGGCCGCGCGGCCGGCCGGTTCCCGACTGTGTGTCTGCCCTGCAGGCAACTACCGGACCCAGATGTGGGACAAGCAGAAGGAGGCCTTCCTGCCCTCGACCCCCGGCCTGGGCATGCACGTGGAGGTGAAGGACCCGGATGGCAAGGTGAGGGCGCGCTGCGGGCCCGCGGGGTGCAGGCTGTGCGTCGCGGCCCCGGGGGCCCGAGCTTGCTCTTCGAGGTCGCAGTGAGGGTGGCGGTCTCTGATGTGGTTGCAGGTGGTCCTGTCCCGGCAGTACGGCTCCGAGGGCCGCTTCACGTTCACCTCGCACACGCCCGGGGAGCATCAGATCTGCCTGCACTCCAACTCCACCAGGATGGCCCTCTTCGCTGGGGGCAAGCTGGTGAGAGAAATTCTCCCTGCCTTCAACCTGAACCACCTCCAGATTTTCATTTGTCGTCACTGTCATGCGCGATGCTTCATAGCACATTCACAAGTGGGAGACGGATGTCCTCTGTGTCCTAGTCAGGGCCAAGAGTCTGTTCCCGAGTCTGGGACAAACATAGAGGCCTACTGCTGAGACACCGTTTCCTTGCAGCGCGTGCACCTGGACATCCAGGTTGGGGAGCACGCCAATAATTACCCAGAGATCGCAGCCAAGGATAAGCTGACCGAGCTGCAGCTCCGTGCCCGCCAGCTGCTTGATCAAGTGGAACAGATTCAGAAGGAGCAGGATTACCAGAGGGTAAGGGAAGGTCTCCTTGTACTTGACCTTTACACCTGCTCTCCCTACTCCAGGTTTCTGCTGGAGGCCTTTGCTACTTAGGACATCAGCTCTTCAGAGACTAGAATAGATGGGTCTAGATAGTGGGGTGTTTTGTTGTTGCTTTTTGAGACATGGTCTTGCTAGGTACCCTGAGCTGGCCTTGAACTCTGCAGCAGCGATCCTCCTGCCTCAGCCTCCAGAGTGCTGGGATTACAGGCGTATACCATGCCCTCCTTTTTGAGAAATCTAGGGCCTCACCTGGATGTGAGGTGCAACTACTGTATCATTGGATCACACCCTCAACTGTTCCCTTTCTGGTAAAATATATGTAACAAAACAGCATTTTAGCTGTCTCAAAATACAGCCTTGTGGGATTAAGTATGTTCACATTGTACAATTAGCACCTCTGTCGGTTTTCACGATTTTTCACCTTCCTAAACAGAAAATCTGCACTTACTAAATACTAATTCTTCTTTCCTTCCCTAGCTCCTGTTATTTTCTGCTTCTATGTTTCTGACTCACCTAAGTACAGTAGTCTTCCCAAAGGGCAGAATTTTTCACTTAGCACAATGCCCCCCAGATCCGTCTATGTTGTAGTATGTGTTCCATTTCTTTCGTTTTTAAGGCTGAACGGTATTCTATTACACGTATGCATTCCACTTGGCTTTAGTTGATTCTTAGGCTGTGTAAGATAACGTGTAGAGGGCAGCTCACAATCTGGTAATAGCTACTGTCTCTTTGACCTCTTGATGAAGTGGTAGGAGCATGACTTCAGTCCTAACAGAGGTGCCTGTGGAGGGACAGCATCATCCCTCACTTGGGGCAGCTGCGGTGGGGAGACTGGCACCCCTCATGGACTCACAGGTGGTCGCAGGTGGTATTACAGAAGGTGTTTGGTCCTGGAGTTGAGCGGTCACACACAAGCAGGGACCTCAGGACAGCCAGGACTGTTTCTTCTGCTCCTTTAACCCCATGATGTTCTCCCCACGCAGTATCGTGAAGAGCGCTTCCGTCTGACCAGTGAGAGCACCAACCAGAGGGTGCTGTGGTGGTCCATCGCACAGACTGTCATCCTCATCCTCACCGGCATCTGGCAGATGCGTCACCTCAAGAGCTTTTTCGAGGCCAAGAAGCTGGTGTAGCACCCTCTCCATATGACCCTTCTTTCTGCCTCAGTTATTTCCCCACCTACTCCCTTAGCCATCTGGAGTTTTGGTGGGGAGGGGAGAGGAAAAACATACCACTTTGGTACCATGGCAACGAACCATTCAGATCAGATACTTGTTTAATTCTGGTTCTCAAGGACACAGAACACTGGTCCAATCTTTCAAGATCTGTTTTAGGACTTGTAAGGAATTGGAACTCAGCTAAGATTAAGTCTTGTTTCTTTTGCCTCCACTCATTCCCTTCTTTCACAAAATGAGCAAAACCTTCTATTTTCTCTCTTACAGGCTTATACATAGGTCCTGCCTCACTATCCCCTGGCCAGTCCTGGGTCCCTCAATGGCCTTGTGAATGTAAATACGGGGCAAGTCTCACCCCAGAGGATCGAGATGTTTTTCTATATATTAGAACTATTTTTTGATAAATTATATATTTTCCTTCCTAGTTGAAGTGTTACTGCCTGTAACTAGCAGAAAACACCAATCCAGCCCTTGCATATTGTGTTTATTCACATTTTTAATAACTGCCATGGCAGCTCTCAGGATTCTACCACTTGGTGGGCCAGAAAGCAGTTGTCACAGCTGCTGTCAGGGCCATGCGGCTTCTCAGAAGGCCAAGCAAAGCTCTCCTGGATGCCTGTGATCCCATCTCACAGGGCCTGGATGTCAGAGGTAAGGGGGGGACAGAGCTGGCACAGGCAGCGTGTGCTGACCCTGCCTCTTCCCTAAGTCTTACTTAAGCTCTGGTAAATGATTTTTCAAGGGAACCAGATTTGGTTCTTGCTATAGATTTTTCCAGTGAAATAAAAGTGTGTTATGGTAGCTGTGTTTGACATGAAATCAGAGGTTGTGGCGGAGGGGAGACAAAAAGCGGGAGGATTCCTGGCCCGGACTGCTGGCGTCAGTGTCCTGAGGGGACTGCAGTGTGGCCTCGTCCTTTGTGTCCAACTCAGCAGGCCCTCCAGCTAACCATTCTCGAAGGCCAGCCAAGTAGATAGCACATCAGCCAGGGACTGTGAGATTAAATACTTGCTTTCTTAGCCCTGAATCATAAGCTTGAATAACTCAGTATACTTTTCTCCTGCCCTTCTCCTGTAGGAATCTTCATATGATTAGTTGTCCCTTTGTGGCATATTAATTCATAGTCTTACATATTTATTTGAAATTCTATTTATTAAATTACTTTATCTGACCTACAAAACTAAATTCCCTTGTTACTTCTCATTGTGTCCTATAATATTCCATATGCCTATTTTTACTGTGTTTTGAGACAGGGTTTCACCATGTAGTGCAGGGTGACCTTGAGCACACTGTGTAGCCTGAGGTGGCCTCGAACTCTCAGTGATCTCCCTGCCTCAGCCTGCCAACTGCTAGGATTAGACACAGGCCATCAAGCCCAGAACTTTTTTTTTTTTTGAGACAGAGCTTTTGTACATAGCCCAAGTTGGCCTTAAACTTGTAACCTCCTGCTTCAGCCTCCCAAGGGCTGGGGTTCTCATTTAATACTTTTTTGTTTTGGTTTTTTGAAACAGGGTCTTGCTATCCAGTTCAGGCTACCCTGGAACTCTTACGAAGTTCAGGCTGGCCTTGAATGAACAGTATTTCTCCTGCTTAAGTGTCCTGAGTGCTGGACATGTGCCACCACGCCTGACTCATTTAGTATTTTTGTACTTTCCTTTTTAAAATTTGGTTCTTTGAGACAAGGAGGTTTCACTATCTAGTTCAAGCTGGCCTTGAAGTATGTAGTTTTGGGTTAGCTGTTACTCAAAGCATCTTGGTGATTTCCCTCTAGCATCACCCTTAATTTTATTTTCATTGTTGCTTTTTATTTTGAGACAGGGTCTCTGTATGCAGTTCAGACTGGCCTCGAACTGTGTAGCCCAGGCTGCCTTCAAGCTCCTGGCGAACCCCCTCCCTCTGCCTCTTGAGTGCTGGGTGTGTACCACACACTTGACCAAGTTCTTGCTTTCTTAAACTTTACAATATCCCTGCAGAACAACCTTCTTCACACAGAAACAAAAAAGCCAGTATGTTGGTGCACATTTGTAATCCCAGCTACTCAGGAGGCTGAGGCAGGAGGATTATAAATCTGAGACCAGCGTGGGCAATTTAGCAAGACCCTGTCTCAAAATAGAAGCAGCTGGAGAGTAGTTTGGCATTCTCTAGGTTTAATCCCCAGTACTAGGGGCAAAAAAAGGAAGTGTGTGGGTTGGGAGGCACCCACTCTCACCTTTTATTGAAGCCCAGTCCCTCAGCTGTCATGAACTGGCAGTGCCCATCAGTCGGTCCCTCAAACTTGTGGTGCATAAGGAATTTTTAATCTAACAGCCAGATCCGAGTTCCTGATACACAGACCCTAGGCCACATCAGCTGGATGCACAGACTCGCCCTGGAAGCTCATCAGTGTAGATTCCTGGTAACTCAGGGCCAGGCTGATCTATAGGTAGGTGCTGGTACTAGCCCTTAAAATGTGTCAGGACCCTAATCCCTCGGATCTGAATGTTACCTAAAGTGGCAAGGAAGGCTGACAATCAGATGACTGAAACTGGGAGCCTGTCTTGGGTCGTCTGCGTGAGCCTAAAGTAATGAGGGGTCTAGTGACTAAAGGGAATAATCCATTTCCTGGCTACCTGCGGCTTGTTTTGTGACCCTTTTTCTATCTTCAAAGACTCAGCAGTGGGCTGGGTCCTCTGATGTTTTCCTACATTCATTGATTTGAGACAAGGTCTCACTGTGTAGTACAGCCCTGGCCGCCTACGGGATCGCTGGTAGACTCCACTTGGATTTGTATCCTGTTGCTACTGTGACAAACTACCACAAAGTGAATGGCTTAGTAAAAATTTACGATCTTAATAGCGCCTAATAAGGGCAGAAGTCTGATAACTTTGTTCTTATCCCAGGGGGCCCTGTGACCCAAAGATCTGTAACCTCTCTGTGTGGGGCCCACCTGCGGCCAGGTGTGGGGTCCGCAGACCACCACCCTCCCCTCACAGGCAGCGAAGGATCTAAGCCCAGACTCTAACCGTAACCACGCGGAAAAACCCCATCAACACTATCCTACCGGTCAGAAACTACAGGGAACCAGAGTTTGGGCGGTACTGAGCGCTGCGCAGCCGCAGACCGCCCACCGCCACCGGTACGCCGGAAGTGTACGTGCCAGCACTTCCGGCGAGTGCGGGTTTCTCCGAAGCTGATTGGTCGACGCCCCAACGTCTCCCGTGTTTCTGGCTGCGCGTGCTCGCTGTCAGTGCGGAACCATGGCGGACCTGGAGAGTCTGGGATTCGAACACATGGGCCTGGATCCCCGGCTTTTGCAGGTACCTGGAGGGCTGGGGACGGGAGATCCTCCCACAGGAACCGCAGGGCGCGCCACTGCCGTCCGCGACTCCTGAGCCGCGCTCCGCGTCTTTCTTAGGCCGTCGCCGACTTGGGCTGGTCGCGGCCCACGCTGATCCAGGAGAAAGCCATTCCGCTGGCGCTGGAAGGCAAGGACCTGCTGGCTCGGGCGCGCACGGGCTCTGGGAAGACGGCCGCGTACGCGATCCCGATGCTGCAGCTGCTGCTCCACCGGAAGGCGGTGGGTCGCTGGGGTGGCAAGGGGAGGAGGGAAGCAAGATCCAAAGAGGCGGGGAAAGGAGGTGCCAGGTTTTCCGTGGGGCTCCTGTTCGGCGGGCTGGTTCCATGTGACCCACCCCCTGGGGTGGAGTTTCTCCTAATCCAGACTGCAGCCACCGCTGCCAGCCGGAGTATAATCCTGGATAAACTGCTTTTGTTTTATAAAGAAGAGTTGGATGTCTGCTTTCCATTTACACAATTAGTGTGAGAGTCGCTTTCAGTACCTCCTGCGTTTTACATAACCTGTAATCATAAAGCAAGTTATTTCTGAGTGTCAGTGCCTGGGACAGCTGTCCATTCTGTTCCGAGGGGGCGGAGGGAGGGTTTGATCAGAACATGCTGAGCGTTTGTATTGCGGTGCATGGGTTGACCTGGAAGGAGTAGAGAAAAGAATCGGGCAGACCCAGTCACATGCCCGCTGGCTAAGGTCTTTGGTTCTTCTTCTTACAGACAGGTCCTGTGGTGGAACAGGCTGTGAGAGCCCTGGTACTTGTTCCTACCAAGGAGCTGGCGCGGCAGGCCCAGTCCATGATTCAGCAGCTGGCTGCCTACTGTGCTCGAGATGTGCGGGTGGCCAATGTCTCAGCTGCTGAAGACTCAGCCTCACAGAGGTGGGTGAAAGCTGCCGGGGAACAAAGCTTCACAGACGTGCGGTCGGGTTTGTGTGTGGTAAGAGAGGGGCAGGTCCGGGGTGAGGTTCTGGCTGCTGAGCTCTTCCTGACACTGATGTCTTGTTGTCTGCAGAGCTATGCTGATGGAGAAGCCAGATGTGGTCGTGGGGACCCCATCCCGCATATTAAACCACTTGCAGCAGGACAACCTGAAACTGCGTGACTCCCTGGAGCTCCTGGTGGTGGATGAAGCTGACCTTCTGTTTTCCTTCGGTTTTGAGGAAGAACTCAAGAGTCTGCTCTGGTAGGAAGGGATAGGGGTGGTTCCCAGTGGAAAAGTCAGTGAGCAGAGCTGGGCGAGCGGGGATGAGCGGAAGCTCAGCTGCTACACTTAGCGGCCCTTGGAGCTGGAGCACGACCGGACTGTTCGCTTTCTTTCAGTCACTTGCCCCGGATTTACCAGGCTTTCCTTATGTCAGCTACTTTTAACGAAGACGTGCAGGCGCTCAAGGAGCTGGTGCTGCATAACCCGGTAAGGGGCACTGAGGGAGCAGCTGGAGCTGCTGGACACTTGAGGACTCAGTGCTCCTTCTCAGAGGAACCTTTGGTGTTTTGGGTGGGACCATTGTCACTGGTGTGTCATTCCTGGTTCTGAGGTATTTAAAAGCAGCATCAGCTGGACGTGGTGGTGGATGCCTGTAATCCAGCACTGGGGATGGCAAGGCAGGAGGATCACCGCAGGTTCTAGGCCAGCCTGAGCTACAGAGCGAGACCCCATCTCTACATATTCTCAGATGTCCCCAGATCACACTGTGATTCCCCTGGAAACTTGAACAGAGGACCCTTACCCCAATCCCTAAGGGCAATTGACGGGCAGAGCCAAAGTTATAAGGGGAAGGTTCTGACCTTTCGTAAATGTAACCCTTAGAAGATCTGTTGCTATAGGCCTGTCCTACTCGGTAGCTTTGTTTGTCAGCATCTGTATTCATTTGGGGCTCCGGGTGCTTTATGTACGGACTGTGTCTTACGTATACCATGTCAATTCGGGTCCCCTCGGGGTCCGTGGCTGGAGGGCTCTTGCACACTAAAATCCTTAAGGCACCTCTGCCCTCTACAAAAGCGTCTGCGCCCTAGTGTCTGTCTCTTCTCTTCCCTGAGTGCAGGCCTGTCCTCTGTCTAGGTTACGCTCAAGTTACAGGAGTCCCAGCTGCCAGGGCCAGACCAGTTACAGCAGTTTCAAGTGGTCTGTGAGACTGAGGAAGACAAGTTCCTGCTGCTCTATGCCCTGCTCAAGTTGTCGTTGATTCGGGGCAAGTCCTTGCTCTTTGTCAACACCCTGGAGCGGAGTTACCGGCTCCGCCTCTTCCTGGAGCAGTTCAGCATCCCGACCTGCGTGCTCAATGGTGAGCTCCCTCTTCGCTCCAGGTTTGTACGGGCCGCGTCTTGGTGGGGCTGGTTGAAAACAGGCACAGGACAGGACCCAGTTGATGTTCCTGTGTTGCCAGTACGCGGTAGAGGCCAGGCTCTGAACCTGACTGACAGTTACTTGCCAGAACCCCAAAATACCCATCTTTATGTCATTTTCACCAAAGCTAAGGAGTGGAGAGAGATGAAGGGGTAGAGGAAGCAGCAGTGGGCACTGGTGACCGTGACAGTGATGGTGTCACACCGTATGCCCGCTGGGCTCACCCTCCTCTTGGGCTGCAGGTGCCATATCATCTCTCAGTTCAACCAAGGCTTCTATGACTGTGTCATAGCAACGGATGCTGAAGTTCTCGGGGCCCCAGCCAAGGGCAAGCAGCGGGGCCGAAGGGCCAAAGGAGACAAGTGAGTCCGCCTTTCTCGTCCTTAGCCCTGCCAGAGCGGCCTGTTTTTCAGTTTGTTTGAAAACAGTCTGGAGTGCACAGAGCAAGATGTCATGGTCCAGGTGGCTGGTGGTGTAGCCTGAAGAGCCCTGTGGCTCTCGCTTAGCTGCCTGGCCGTGGGGACGGGGATGGGGACGGGGATGGGGACGAGGTGGAGGCTGCTTACTGGGTGCGCCTGCTGTCTGCTGGAGGACTGCCCACCTGTAGTAGGTGGTGGCTGGCGGAGGCTGGGAGCATGTTTCTGAGGAAAAGGGAAGCTCCCTGGTCTAGTTGAAGGGGTCACTGGCCCAGGGGGAGTCCCCAGGTCACTGCAGTTGAGGTCAGCACAAGGGGTTGGTCTCCACGTCAGAGCTCTAGGCCGACCACTGTGTCCTGGCTCTGGAGCAGTTTTTCGTCTGTCTGTTGCAGTTCTGGGGACTGAACCCAGAACCCAGGCACTTACTCTGCAGACACGACAGTAGTGGTCTGCAGCCCCCACTTCTGGAAAAGTTCTGAGGGTTTTGGTTTGATTGTATTTGTTTTGTTTTTGTTTTTTTTTGGGGAGACAGGGTCTTGCTGTGTAGGCCTGGGCTGGCCTCAAGCTCATAGTTATTCTCCTGTGTCAGCCTTTCAAGTGCTGAGATTACAGGCATGGGCCACCACACCTGGCTTTTCTTTTTTGTTTGTTTTGAGACAGGGTTTCACTTTGCAGTTCAGGCTGGCTTTGAACTTATTTTATTCAAGCTGTCCAGACTGGCCTTGAACTTTAACCGATCCTCCTGCCTCAGCTTCCCAAGTGTTGGGATTACAGGCATGCACCATCACGCCTGTCGTTTTGAGGGGTTTTTTGGTTTGGTTTTTCATGCCTAAGTCTCACAAAGTCTCTTCAGTTCCCTGGGGGTGGAATTTGTAATCCTCTTGCCTCAGCCTTTCAGAGAGCAGGGCTCACAGATGTGCATCACTACGCACATTCCTAGAATGATTTTGATGTAAAGTGCTCTTGTGTGTAACAGGGACTTGTGGTCTTTAGTTTTGTTTAGAGGATGTTTTGCTCGCTAATCTTAAGAACACGTTCTAGAGCAGAAAAGGGCTGGCCTGACCTTGGTTCTCTCCGCAGGGCCTCTGACCCTGAGGCCGGTGTGGCCCGGGGCATAGACTTCCACCATGTGTCCGCTATTCTCAACTTTGACCTCCCCCCGACCCCCGAGGCCTACATCCACCGGGCCGGCAGGTAGGAGCCTGGGCGGGAGGGCAGAACTGCGTGGTGAGGCGGTGAGCGTGGTGGAGGGTGCGGTGGGCTGGGCGGAGCCCACAGGCAGGGATGCAGGCTGGGTTGTCTCCCGTCGCAGGACAGCACGTGCCAACAACCCTGGCATAGTGTTGAGCTTTGTGCTTCCCGCGGAGCAGTCGCAGCTGGGCAAGATCGAGCAGTTTCTCAGTGACGGTGAGCATGCAGGCTCCGGGCTGGGCCAGGCCAGGCTTCCCCCACGGCAGACCCCTGAACGCTCCTCATGTCCCCCGTGGGGCAGGCCCTGTGTCGCCCTGCACTGAGGGGCAGACGTGGTCTGCCTCCAGTCGGCATGTGACCTCTGTGCTGCTCGCACACGCGCCGTCTGCTGCATCACTGGCAGCCCGCGAGGCCAAGGACAGCGCCATGCGCCTGCGCGCGTGTGTCTCTCTCTCACCCTGGGCTGATGCTCCTGTCTGAGCCCTTCCTGCTCCTGTCTTCGCAGAGGGTGAGGCCCCTGCCCTGCTTCCCTACCAGTTCCACATGGAGGAGATCGAGGGCTTCCGCTATCGCTGCAAGGTGAGCCGCTGGGCACTTCGGGGATGGGCAGGGGGAGCTTTGACTGGGTCCTGTCCCGTGGCTGACCCCCGGTGTCTGCCCGAAGGACGCCATGCGCTCGGTGACGAAGCAGGCCATCCGGGAGGCGCGGCTGAAGGAGATCAAAGAGGAGCTCCTGCACTCGGAGAAGCTCAAGGTGAGGCGGGCGAGGGCAGCCACACTCGGGCCTGTGCATGTTCCCGGAGCTCGAGCCAGTGTGCACGGGCACACACGCATCTGCATCCAGCCCTGTGGTCGTGGCATCCAGAAGATGGCGCAGCCTGGCATCCCCCCACTGAGGTTCCACAGTGTGGGAGGTTCCACAGCTTGGGTGTCTGCGAGCCGCAGCGGTGACGCCAGGTGAAAGCTGCAGAAGGGCTATTGGCGGCACATAGGAGGGAGAGTTTGAACCAGTGTAGGAGTCGGAAGGCGGCCTCGATGGGAACAGTGAAGGAACAGAGGTCGTAGGAAGTCTGCACAGGGTCGCCTCGTGCCTTTTAAATTGTAAAGCACACGGATCTGATGTCTTTTCGAAGGTTCAGTCTGATGGGTGCAGTTGTAGTCCCAGCTAGGGGACTCGCAGAGAGGCTGAGGCAGGAGGCTCGCTGGATCCCAGGAGAGTAAGGCCGGCTTGGGCAACATAGTGAGCCCCTGTCTTAAAGAAGTAGGTCTGGGGGGTAGCTTAGTGTAAAGCACTAGAGTGTGCAGCGCCCTGCCTGAGTTTGCTGAGACTCACTCACTGCTCCAAAAATAAAGTTGCAAACTGAAAAACTCAATCTGTGAAGTTCCAAAGCCGCTGACCTGAGCTCCCTGCCCTCCCAGACATACTTCGAGGATAACCCCCGGGACCTGCAGCTGCTGCGGCACGACCTGCCTCTGCACCCCGCGGTGGTGAAGCCACACCTGGGCCACGTCCCTGACTACCTGGGTGAGTGGTGGGAGGGTCGGGAGGTGGAGGGACGTCCCGGAGGAGCAGAGCGAAGAGGCGCCAGAGTGGGTGGCGGGAGCTGCGGGAGGGGAGGCTGGCGCCCTGGCCTCAGTGAGCTGCTCTGAGCAGGGTCCCTCGCTGGGAGGGCGTGGCCTGGCCTTTGGGATCAGGGCCAGGATTGGGAGCCCGGGACGTCACGTGAAGCCAGTGGATTTGTCACAGGGCCTCGTGTGAAAGGTCGCCCTGAGCCTGTCCTTTACCTGCACCTCCCTGCCCTCCCACCTCGGCTCTGTGTGCCGAGCACGCTGTACCCTAAGCGCCACCCCACCCTGGCCTTGTTGCACACCCCCGCCACACGCTTGAACACCGCCGGAGGGTGATGTGGATGGTGGCTCGGTGGGCCTGGTATTCTTTGGTCCTGGGGTTTGTGTGAGGACGAGTCTGTGTGTCACTCATGTCACAGTTGAGAGCGCAGCACTGGGCATCCCGGCCAGAGGGTGGGGAGCCCTTGCAGTCTGGGTTCGGCGCTCATGGGGTTGGGGCGACAGGAGGCTTCAAGAGTGGTGAGCTGACCGCTGAGGCCTGGTCTCTTGCAGTCCCTCCGGCGCTCCGTGGCCTTGTGCGTACCCACAGGAAGCGGAAGAAGCTGTCCTCTGGCAGGAAGGCTAAGGTACGCCCGGGGGCTGTGGGGCCAGCAGCGGAGTCTTCCCCACCTTGTCCCTTTGCTGTCGCATGATGTCCACGCATCTTGCCCGGTGGGTGGAGGAGGACTGCTCCTTGGCCCTCGGGCTGCCCACGGCTGCCTCTGTGGGGACAGCCGTCTGCCTGCCCTCTAACCCAGACCCTACTCCACAGAAGACGAAGACCCAGAACCCGCTGCGCAGCTTCAAGCACAGCGGGAAGAAACCCAGACCCGCAGCATCGCCATCCTGAGGCCACCAGGCCGCCGTGTGGGGAGTGAGCTCCCAGCAGGACTCAGCGGCTCAGCGCCCTGCACGCCACACACCCAGCGCTCCGTGCTGGACACACGGACTTGGGGGACTGGGCTGGCACTGCCAGGCTGCTGCCTTTCCCCCTGAGGTTCCAGCTGGGCACAGTGGCCCCTGCCTGTGGTCCCAGCTACTTCGGAGACTGGTGGAGGAGGACTGTGAACTTGAAGCCAGCCTGAGCAACTTTTAAATCCTGTCTCAAAGTTAAAAGGAAAAAGGGCTGGGGATGTAGCTAAGTGCAGAGGCTCAGGGTTCCTTCCCCAGTACTGCAAAAACAAACCACACAGAATAAACCTCTTCCACCCCAGACTGGTCCCTCAGCCCTCATTGTGCGCTTTTGCTGCTTGCAGTCCCGGGTGTGGCCAACAGAGGGCAGTGGTGCCTGGCTGGTCCCCTGTGTAATCCCTGCTAGTCCCAGGCCCAGCCCAGAGCATCCTGGGAGATGTCCTTCCTGACTGTGAGCTGCCTGCTCCCCAACACATGTGCACTGTGTTCAGAGGCACCAGGGCCACTGTCTCTTCCTTCCAGGTTGACAGCACGTGTGTCAGCTGTCTGTCAGGAGCAGGAGGCATGGTGTGACACAGGCACCAGCTGAGCACCTGGCCACCTTCCAGCCTGAGACCAGGCCTCAGCCCCGAGGGTGGGCTTCCCCCTTTGAGCACCCTAGGCTGCTCCCCAGCGTCCCCTGCCCGTCACTTGCTCACCGGGCATTGCAGGTGGGCAGGGGCATGCGCAGCAAGGAGTGGAGGCAGAAGGTGGGCACGGGTGCAGTTGGGCCCAGAGGCTGGCCTTGCTGTGTGGGGGACCCGAGGGAGCTCCCTTTCTCTGCTCTTCCGCTAACGCCTGAGTGTCGGGAAGTCGGGCTGTGATGTGGGTGGGGCAGAGACCAGCAGGGGTGGCTGTGAAGGGGTCGGTGCCTGAGGTGGGCATCAGAGAAGCTGGAGACACAGCTGCCCCGAGAGCACTGGACGGGCTTGTCTGTCACAGGAAGGGGCAGGTGTGGGGGCTGCCGCTGCCTGGGGCAGTGAGTGTGCCAGCTGTGCTCTAAGGTGACAGCATGACCTATGCGTGACGTATCCCTGGGGCGTGTTTCTGACCTTGTCACCTGTGCACGGCCTGTGTTGAGAGCCACCCTGGTGGCCATGAGGTTGGCTTCCCTGGCGCGGTTCCTCCCGGGGGGTGGAGTGGGTGAGCGCGGAGCCAGCGCCTTGCGGTGTCCTGTGAGGTGTAGCCCAGAGCTGGCAAGTGGGGTGGACTTGGGTGAGGCCCGGTGGTTCCACACGTGGTCCCTTCCCCGAGTCAAAGCAGCCGGGGGGATTCCTGGGTTCTGGGTCGGTGGCTGAGGCTCAGAAGGTCCCGGAAACAGCAGGGCCCGGCAGCAGCAGAGGGCGAGGTGGCTGAGTTGCCACCTGGCAAGGAGCTGGTGCCATTGCGTGGGCACCTGTGTGTCCCCTCGGGGCTCCTGCAGCCCCGTATTACTTGGGTCTGTGCTGGCCGGGCCACAGAATGGGACGTGTGTGGGGCTACCATGACATCTGCGCAGCCGTGTGTCCCCTGTGAAGGACAGCGGCCAGGCGGCAGTGCCCCTGCTGCACTCTGCTTCCCAGTGGGGACCTTGTGTCCCATCCAGGACAGGATAGACTCGGAACAAGGTGTGCACGTGGCCGGGACAAGAAGGGGACTGTGCAGTCCCCAGGCTCGGACTGGCCAGGCTGGTGGTGCCCTATGCGTAACAGAAAGGCCAGGTGCGGTGGCGTCACCTGCAGCCCAGGCCTGGGCCTGTGTGTGCGGACCGTCTGTCAGGGTCCCTCTCACCCACCTGAGACGGGGAGCACACATGCTGCTGCCAGCCTGGGGCCAGCTGGGTGCAGCAGGGGCTGCGCTTGCCCTCTGAGGTCTGGGGCCCAGCACGGAGGCAGACGATGGGTGTCCGTGTCACCATGGGCAAAGCGCTGTGGGGACCTCAACCAGGTGGAGGGAGGTTTTAAGCCAGGCCTGGTGGTGTACACCTGTAATCCCAGCCCTTGGGAGGCTGAGGCAGGAGGTGGGTAAGTACAAGCTCAGCCTGGGCAACTTAGTGAATTCCTGCCTCAAATAAATAAAATAAGGAAGAGGGCTGCGGATGTAACTCTGTGGGTTCAGTCCTCGGTGCCACCGAAAGAATTTCCGCTGAGACAGGACGGGTGGGAGGGAACTGGGGACCTGGCCGAGGGGAGCCCAGCACAGTTGAAGAGAAAAGGACCAGTGGTGGTGGTCAGGGTGTGAGAGGAACTGAAAACGCTGGGGATAGGGTAGCCACATGGTGGGAAACAAAAACGGAAGGACCAGGAAGTGCAGGGCTCTGGCGGGGAGCCCGGATCAGATATGGAGGACAGGTGTGCCCCAAACCTCTGGACTTTCCGGGGAAGGTTGTTGTGTTCCATCCCAGCTAATTCTGTCCCCATCTGCCAAGGATTAATGACTCAGCTTTTGGGCAGCCCTGCTCACTGGACTTTGACCCTTGGGGTCAGTGCCTGGGGAGGTGATAAGGGTGAGCTGAGCAGGGAAGCATCGGGAAGCATCGTTTGAATGTCGTCATTCAAAGCGATGCTGCGTAGTTTCCACCTGCTTGTTTGTTTTGGGGACAGGATCTCGCTATGTAGCCCAGGCTGGCCTTGAACTCAGCTAACCCCCTGCCTCAGCCTCCAGAGTGCTGGGATTACAGAGGTGCGCCACCATGCCCAGCCACTTTGGGGTCTTTTGTAAGTGAGGTGACTGCCCTTCTGAGGGCTGGTGTGAGATGTGTGTGAGGCACTCATATGGCCCAGGTACTGGCACAGGTACCTGACCCAGGTACCAGGTATCGGGGCCCAGCTCAGGCCTGAAACTTCTGATCCCCGTCCTGACAGAGTCCACGGAGCAGCCCCCAAACTCCTCTGTGTGCACCAGATCACGCAGGAAGCTTTTTATTTTTTTCCACTATTTGGGCGATTGAATCCAAGAGCTTTGTACTGAATGATATCAGGTTTTTTTAATTTTAGGGAGTGGTTTCTGGGAATCGAACTCAGAACCTCATGCTTGCTAGGCAGGTGCTGTGCTACTGAACTGCATCCCGGCCCCCTTTTTAATTTTTTGACACAGGGACTCACTAAGTTGCCCAAACTGGCCTCGACTTGCCATCCTCCTGGCTCCGCCACCTAGAGTGCTGAGGACGTAGCTCTGCGTGATGATACTGGGTTTAATCCCTACTTCCATAAAGTACACAGCTAGGACAGGGTTAAGATGCTGAATTTGGTTTTTTGGTGAAACAGTCTCTCTGGTCTTGAACTTACTATGCAGCCCAGGTTGGCTTCTTGGCAGACTTTCTGCCTCAGCCTCCAGAGTGGTGGGATTACAGGCATGCACTACCATGCCTGGGAAATTCAACATTTCTTATAAGCACTTTTCCCACTAGTCCCCAGACCACAGTTTGAGGTTCGCCATGCTCCTCCATTTTGCAGATTGGCAAACTAAGGCTCAGATTAAATGCCAAGCCTAGCACCATCCCTCAGCTAAGTGGTGACATGGGAGCTGCTTCATCTGATGGACTCAGCTCTGACAGGGGGCCAGGGGACCTGATTACAAGGCTGCTCTGTCCCTGCCCAGTTAGAGATCTGGCTAGATTTAAGTTCCACATATGCAGGAGTTTCATGGCATAACTATGACCCATCCCATACTTGGGATGTACTTTTACTAGAAAAGTATTTATTATTTGCGTTTTTTATTGTGTGTTTGGTTTTTTTAAATCTTTTTGAGACAGGGTCTCGCTATGCAGTTCAGGCTGGCCTTGAGCTCACTTTGTAGCCCAGGCTGGTCTTGAACTCACAACATTCCTCCTGCCTCAGCCTCCCGAGTGCTGGGATTATAGGTGTGTGCTGGGATTATAGGTGTGCACGACCTTGCAGCTTCATTTTTTAAAAGGAGATTTCCATTTGGCTGGCCCCTGAAGAGCATCCCTCCTATCTCAGCGGGGCTTTCTTCCTAACCTTCTTCCACCAAGAACAATTTGCAGTGAAAGGGAAGGAAAGGACTCACCAGGGACACATGTGTGGAGCTGGACTGTGTCCTCCACCCCCGCCCTCCAGGCGTCACCTGTGACTCAGGCTGACCCCACCCACGCCCTGGGTGCTGTGTGCCAGACGGCACCCTCGCCTGGGAGCCTGGCCGCAGGCCTGTCTCGCACTAGCTTTGGTCATGACCTGGTCAGCAGTGCTATATCACCGTGGGGACCTAGAGCTGCCCGACGCTCCATGCCGGTGGTCCTGGTATGGTCTGGCTACAGCGTGCTTGGCCTGCCTGGGTGAGGACCTTGCCCTGCCAGAACCCGCAGCTGGGGGCCTGGTGACTGCCCTGTGGGGTGACCCGGCGTGGCCTCCGCCCATGGGCCCCAGTGTGGCTGGTGCAGCGAGCTCTGAGTGGTGGGTCTTGTCCACCAGAGGTAGCAGAGGCCCAGACTGGGGGGCCTGGCTGGAAGCGTCTCTTGGAGCAGGCAGTCTGACACCTTCCCGACAGGTAGAAATGGACAGCCAGGGACACGGAGTGGTACCTTGGCCTCCAGCAGCTAAATGCACATGCACGGAGATGCAGCCGCATGGTGCCACCTGGGCCACTCAGCCTGGCTGATGGCAGAGGTGGCCACTGCTGGGTAGCAGAGGCCAGGAGGGGTCCAGAGAAGCCGTGGCCTGGTTACAGCAGAGCAGGGACACAGCAACCAGCTGGCCGAGCAGGGCCCGTCAGTCCCAATGGCATGTGGCGTGGTATGAGGTTTCAGTTGTCACACACACACACACACACACACACACACAGCAGGTAACATTTGATTAACAAGATTTTAAAAAATGTGTATAGGTTGGACATGGTGGTACATGCCTGTGATCCCAGCACTTGGGAGGCTGAGGCAGGAGGATCTCTGCGAGTTCCAAGCCAACCTGGGCTACCGAGTGAGTTCAAGCCCAGCCTGACCTGCATAGTGAGACCCTGTTTCAAAAAGAAAAAACAATACAAAACCAAACAAACCAAACCGCATATAGTCACAGATGATAAGAAGCAGTAACTTTAAGCTCTGTGGACAAATGCGATTATTGGAATGAGACTTTGGAAGATGATTGAGCATTGGCTAATAAAGCTGGAGATGTGCAATTGCACCTCGGGTACGTCTGGGCCTCCTTTGGATCCCTGGGACATAGGCTCCAGTCCTCACCCACTGCACCAGTGGGTGCCAGTGCCAGGGCGCTCCAGGGCCTTATTCCATGGCACTGTGGTCACACACCTCCCGTGTGCTGAGATCACTG